GTCATGTTTCCCTCTAGAGCACTGCCAAGTCTCCCTCTAGAGTACTGCCAAGTCTCCCTCTAGAGTACTGCCAAGTCTCCCTCTAGAGCACTGCCATGTCTCCCTCTAGAGCACTGCCAAGTCTCCCTCTAGAGCACTGTCATGTTTCCCTCTAGAGTACTGCCAAGTCTCCCTCTAGAGTACTGCCAAATCTCCCTCTAGAGCACTGTCATGTTTCCCTCTAGAGCACTGCCAAGTCTCCCTCTAGAGTACTGCCAAGTCTCCCTCTAGAGTACTGCCAAGTCTCCCTCTAGAGCACTGCCAAGTCTCCCTCTAGAGCACTGTCATGTTTCCCTCTAGAGCACTGCCAAGTCTCCCTCTAGAGTACTGCCAAGTCTCCCTCTAGAGTACTGCCAAGTCTCCCTCTAGAGTACTGCCAAGTCTCCCTCTAGGGCAGTGCCATTTTTCCTCTAGGACACTGCCATGTCTCCCTCGAAGGCAATGTCATGAGAGTTTAAAACTTTATACCACCATGAAGAAAGTGTATTTACCTTCACACTTCCCAGTGTTTGCCAGTTATAAGTTTCAGATGAGTATTGAATTATTGTTAAATAGCAACTTTTTATTTAAATTATCACAATCTTTTTATTGTACTTGATACTAGTATGAGCTTTGCTATGAATGGTCATTAGTAAGCATGAGATTGATCGGTTAAAATTCTACCACATATTCTATTTGTTATATAAGTGAAGTATTAGTAGTTCTTTTGGGAATTTTTCTGGTTACATATGATACTTTTTTGTGGAAATTGTACTCACATTATGGCATTGCAGTCTACTCTGCTTTTCAATTAAAAAATGTAAAATTAAATTTTTACTAACTTTTAAATCTTAATATGGGCTTCTAAACTTTATCTTTTACTTTTTATTCTGTAAATTTTTATTCTCACAGAAATTTATGTGTTTTTTTTTTGGAACAAAGTAAATCCTACTTCATTTTTGTAGAGGTGAATTAGATTTTTGAAATTTGTCATTATTGCATGAGAAACTATATTTACTTAGAACATTTCCAGAAAGAAAAACTAATGCAAAACAAATATTCTATCAACAAGAATTTTATTTAGATATTAACTACTTATCTAATATTAGAAATTAATTACTACATTCTTAGTACTTTTTACTGAACAGTCTGTGTGTGAAATCCCACTATTCAGTTTCTGGTGTCATTGGGAGTGAGAAAGTATGAATGAGTGACTGGTCAGTAATATTATAAAACTGTTTTTTACAATTTTCCTAAAGATGTAAAACAAAGAAATGATATAACCTATAGGCTTGGCAGTATTGGTAATTGATGCAGGTAATGGTGAAACAAAAATGAGATAACCACTAGCTGGTATGATGTTGAAAATATAAATAACACTAGAAATTTGGTTGAACTTCCCAGAAAATACTTATAGAGAACTAATTCTCCCAGTGATAGGTTTATTTTTAGATAGTAGTGAAAAACAAAAAGACATGTTTATTAATGTTGGTTTATTTGCTCCCTTTGGCCCAAATTAGCATGATTAATGTAAAACTTGAGGGAATGTAGCATTATGAGTTACATTCCATTGAAGGAATGTAACTTTTCTCAATTATTTCAATCTCTGACAAGATATGTGATAGTAAGACCTCTCATCATTATGCCACATCTTTAAGAAAACAATTTTCTAACAATCTGAAGGTTCATCACCATGAACAAAACCACTTTGTTTATCCTTTTGCATATAGTTTTGTAGATAAAGGTATACTACACCTTTTCTGTGTAAGCCCGAAAACTATCAAAATATAGAAATTAAGTTATTTTCAGTGTATGGCATACTTTAGCAGTTGGAAGAATTATTTTAGTCTCCACAGTCATTTGCATGTTCACCATTGCACATTAATTTACATGTTAATTGCAGGTCAAAGCAATACTCCTTTGATTCAAGAAGTGGAGAGGGTTGGACCAGATGCCTCAATTCTACATGTTAAAACCCCAGAATCCAGATTTTTTTATGCAAGTGACTCAGAAGGTGTGTTGATCTGTGAAATTAGCCCTAACCAGGTGTTATGATTTTGTTTAAATGAACTATATTTATTGACATATCGTAACGAATAGTTTATAGTGATGTTTCCTTTATGTTCATTGACATATGGTGATGAATAGTATTTAGTGGTTTCCTTTGTGTTTATTGACGTATAGTAATTGGTAGTTTATAGTAATGTCTCTCTTATATTTATTGACATATCGTAATGAATAGTTTATAGTGATGTTTCCTTTATGTTCATTGACATATGGTGATGAATAGTATTTAGTGGTTTCCTTTGTGTTTATTGACGTATGGTAATGGGTAGTTTATAGTAATGTTTTCTTTGTGTTTATCAATATATGGTAATGTTTAAGGTGATGTTACTCTTAAGTTTTACTGGCACTTTGTAATGAATAGTTTTTGATATTTCACAAGTATATAGTTTTAAAGAAGCTTTATTGTAGTTACATAAATAATGAGTTTGTGCATTTGAAAGTTGAAAATAGGTTAATATTCCATTTAGAATGAGATTTATAAGTGGCTTATTCCTACCCGAGTGAACTGCCTTCGGAATAAAGTTGTCTCTGTTTCAATGGGTCCTACTCACACCGTTGTTTTGCTTGAGCAAGGAAAGATAATAACCTTTGGTAATAACCAGGATGGCCAGCTGGGACATGGACATATTCAGAACAGCCTAACTCCCAAGATGGTCAAGTTGATGGCAGACAAGTACATTGTGGTAATATTGCATGTGTTTTGTTCAGCCTGTTTTTCAGGATGTATATTATTGATAAATGAGTGATCACTGCATGTCATCTGATTTTTTAAAGTTTCATTTATTCAGTTATCATATTGTTAAATAATATATGTATGGATGCTACACTGCCTAGAATGTTAAAATTATAATCAAAATATATAATATTATAGCTATGACTAAAAACCACTCTTATAAATCACCTTCCTCAATTAATGTTTTTGTAATTCAGTGTCAGGAACTTATTTTTTTTTAGTTGTACATATTAAAGTAAGTTTATGGATCTGCTGTGGTAAGGAGTCTTCTACTAGGCTTTACTTTACTTTTAAATGTTTTGTGCAGTGTATATACCAAAATCTGTTGTATAAAATTGTTTTCGTAGGATGTCTTTACTTCTTTCATGAGCATGACCTGAGTTTATCAAGAGCTTAATATCAGGATATCTTAGCCAAATTTGATGTTTATACTACAAGATCATTATAGCAGGATGTCTTAACCACTTTCATACGTATGACATATGTGACCTACATTTGTGTTACAGAAACTTAAATAATGTAGCTAATTTTATTCCAAAGACTGCCTAGGAATATATTGTAAAATAAATCACAATAAAACCAAACATTATAAGGATTAGAATCCAATGATTTATCAGGTGTGTGCCTGATGTTATTAATTTTAGTTTATCATTTCAATATTTTACATGAATTTTGTAATAAACACTGTTGCTTGTAAACTCAAAATGACATGATAATGTATATTATTATTTATATAATCCTTGTTATATATATGTGTGTGTGTGTGTGTGTGTGTATGTTATATCTACGTACATAGGTACCTACAGTAGTTGATATTTTTATATGGCCTTGGCTAACTTATAAAGTAATTGCCTACCACGGCTGATGGGTGTATGTCATTACCTACCACGGCTGATGGGTGTATGCCGTTACCTACCATGGCTGATGAGTGTATGTCGTTTATTACCATGGCTGATGTGTACATGTTGTTACCTGCCATGACTGACATAAATTTTGCAGGCAAGAAATATTATATGAAAAATAAGTAGAAGATGTGTATCTTTAGGCAAGAAATATTGTAAAAAAAAAGGGTTAATGATTGTTTTATCAGATGGCACAGTGTGGGAGCACTTTTACTGTAGCTACAACCATTAACACTGTCTATTTCTGGGGAGGACGTCAAGTTCTTAGTACCCCTACTCTGGACAAAGACCTTGAGAGACATTATGAAGAAGATCCAATTATAGATAGTTTGAAGACTTTTAACCCTGCAAGTCATCATGAGAAGAAGGATAAAGTACTTAGTATTGATGACAACGAAACTAGTGAAACATCTGTCTCTGAAGTGATTAAAATAGGTAATTTTATTTCATTCTTTACAAACGTGTAGTAACTGACGGAAGTGGTTAGTTTTAACAAAACAAAACACACAGTGTATATGTAGATGAGTTGGTAAAGTATAAAATAACTTCCACAAAAATTTTTAAATGGATTTTGATATACAGAACTTTAAAGTGTTCTTTGTGTTCACCATGTTACAAGTAGCAAGTGAAGTGTTCGTATGAAACTATGCTAATCTACTGCCTACCACTTTAACTGGCCAAACATTTGGATAACTAATTCTACACTGCTGTATTAATCAAAGAAAAGTAAGGGGAAAAATACACTGTAATGTAGACATCTGTACTGACTAGACCACGGTTTTGTTTGTGTAGATTAACAGAGCATAAATAAAACACAATACCCTGTACATTGACACTTGTACTAACTAGACCATAGGTTTGTTCATGTAGACCAACAGAGCATAAGTAAGAAAACAGTACTCTAAATGTAGATTTCCTATTAACTACACCATAATCTGTGTGATAACAAAAATATTCCTAATGAAGAATCATCAAAATACAATACTGAAAGAAAGATGATACATTATCAAAACATAATATACAAGACAAGTAGAGATCGAAATATTATATTCTCAAATTTCTGAAGAATTTGACTTTAATTTAATCTTTATTGTTGGATTTTCGGATTGGAAATGCATGACCCATCTGTATTCCTTTAGTTATAACCAATGAAAGTCATTAAAATAACATGCTTTTAGAGTCTATTTCTGTTACTAATAAGTCTATAAAAGATTCTCACAAGCTATCTAATAATTCCTGATAAATATGATAAACTAAAATGCTACATAGGCCTATATCACGAAAGTTTACATGTAAACAATCCACACGGGGATAAAAATAAAAACTGTGCATACATCCAAAATAGATCATTTATGCGGTGTCACAGTGTGTACCTTTTTCAAGGAATTAACTGATAGAGTATTGTTTGGTTCATAAACTAAATTACATTAGAAAATAATTTACTGATTTATAACAAAAGAAAAACCATACTAATTGTGATTTTTTTTTTTAGTTTATGAACAATAAATCCAAGTACAATTAGGTCCATGTTTTCTATAATTCAGCCCACTTTCTATCTCATGAAAATTCTCAAATATGGTGCTGTGTTCAAATATGATTGGTAATTTGTCACTACACAATGCTATCTAGTAATGGTACTATATAACCAAATCTAATTATTGTTCACTCAAAAGTAATTAACAAAACATCCCCGTGCAGATAGCATTGGAAATAATTTAGGCCTGACTTGTAAGATATGACAGGGATACATAGAAAATCCACTCAAAAGTAATTGACAAAACATCCCCGTGCAGATAGCATTGGAAATAATTTAGGCCTGACCTGGAAGATATGACAGGGATACATAGAAAATCATTGTGGATTTTGATTGTAGTATCAACAATGAATCTTTTGAGACATGGCTTTACAGCTGTTAAAAGTACACAAAGCGATGTAGCTAATGTCAGGCCCAATACTGATACTGACAATGCCGGTGCACAGGCCTAATGTTACTCATATAATAAATATATTCTTACAAGAGAAACATTACTATAAACTACCCATTACTATACGTCAATAAACACAAAGGAAACCACTAAATACTATTCATTACCATATGTCAATAAATATAAGAGAAACATCACTAAAACTAATTTTCATTCTTTTATTGTTTGAACAATCAATGTACCAATTATATTTTCAGTAATTAGTGTAGATAGCAGCACTGTAGAGCATTGAATGAATATTTTTTCAAATACCGTAATATTCGGTGTATAAGACACACTTTTTTACCCTAAAATTTGATGTCCAAATCTGCTTGCGTCCTATACACCGAAGGTATGAATAATATATATATGTATATTTACGATATACACAAGCCATGTGTAAATATATTTCAATAGGCATGCATAGTTTAGTTCAATTGAATGTGTTATTTATAACAACAGTA